AAACTTGTAAAGGAGGACTAAGAACTAAAAACAACATGAGAATTGTAGAAAACAAAAAGTAAAATGGCAGGTATAATTGCAACTATGTCAAAAATACTAAATGTAAATGGATTACATGATCCAAACAGGAGGAAGAGATTGTCGCCCCAGATTAAACAAACAAATGATGATCTAAATTTATATTCTGTGTAGAGGTGATCTCAGAGAGACAACAGCAAGTGGTCTTGAAGCTAGGTTTTAGTTTCCTGCCCAGGAATTGAACCTGGGTAGCCTGGATGAAAACCCAGGAATCCTAGCTGCTAGACCACCAGGCTAGAAGGAAATTTCCCCTGGCTCTTGCCCCATTTGAAAAATGGATTTCTCAAAGAGGCAAAAACTGTAAAAACAGGTACAGAGTTTATTATCAGAGACACAGCATATCATGTGGGAGAGCACACAGAGAAACAGTTTGTTTAAGACAGAAGCAAGGCAGAAATACACACCTGGAGAGAAGGGGTGTGGGGTCCTCCCTAATGAGGAGCACAGTAAAGAGGTGGTTACATCATTTATACAGGGCAGTTCTTCTGGATCTTTGTTTACGTTTGGCCAGTTATCTCGTTTGTTTTCCACACTTGACCTGTCCTAGAGCTCTCCCCAATATGCGTGCGCAACTTTTTGCCAAAATGGATTCCAACACAGAGGACTTCAGGAGTATGTCCACACTTTTTGTGGGGTGGTGCCCCCTCCCTTTATGACCTCCAAGGAGCCTTCCTGCACATGTGCAGATAGGGAGGTTTCCTTGACCTCAGGATTGATAGATGTGGTCCTCTTATCTCGTTACTCCAGCAGAGCTCAGCTCCTGCCATTAACTTTGTCCTTGGTGTGTCTAAGGAAAACAAAGCTCCAATCTACTCTGCTTGACACACTCCCAGCTGCTCAGCCCAGGGACCCAACTACCTTCTACCTGAGAGGAAGCACACGTTAGATGCAAAGACACCAACAGATTGAAAGTAAAAGCGTATGATAGGTACACCAACATGAAAACTGGAGAGATTATATAAATACCAGGCAAAATAGACTAGAAAACAAAACATATTAGTAGAGAATTAGCAGATGCAAACTATTATATATAGAATGGATAAACAATAAGGTCCTACTGTATAGCACAGGGAACTAGATTCAATATCATGTGATAAATCATAAAGGAAAAGAATATAAAAAAGAATGTATATGTATAACTGAATCACTTTGCTGTACAGCAGAAACTAACACAACAGTGTAAATCAGCTATATTTCAATAATAAGTTTAAAAACTACATATTAGTAAAAAGAAAAAAACAACAGAAAAAGAAAAAAACCCCAGAAAATCAGAATAGAACTATAAAAAGTGAAGTGGTTGAGTTAGTAAACAAAATCCACCGTAAAATAAACCTAGACTCTACCTTTGCGTAGATGGCTTCTACACAAAGTTCTCCAAAAATTTTAAAGAAGATTTGTTACTGAATTAGACTGGAGACTCCCCTCCTGGCCCCTAGCTGAACCAAAGACCCCCTGGCTGGGTCAGGGAGTTCTTTCCTGCTCAGGTTTGAGCTGCCAATAAGGAAACTGAGTTTGGTGCAAGGACGACAGGCTTTTCCTCAATGGCCAGAGAAAGAGAAGGGGAGCTAATGCTCTAAAGACACCTTCTCTCTGATTACAAGCAGGGATGAGCTTTTTATAGAAAATGGTGAAGGAGGTTACAGGGGACGAGTGTCTTTTGTCATCCTGACTCGTGGAAATGGATGGAGGTTTCCTGGAATGCAATTCAGTTCTCTTTTCTGCTGCTGTGTGGTGGCCCTTCTGGGTCTGGGTCAGAAGCAGGTAGAACCAATATGGCAGGGGGGTGAGGGGTGGAGATTTTATTATTACGATGAGATGGCAATCGGCTGTAGAGTGACCTTTGTCCCACTTTTGAAGTTCAGTCAGATTATCCTGGATTCTTATGGTTAAGCCCTCTTTTTGCTGTCATGTAAACACAACTAGTAGATACAGTTAGTTCTGGTTTTCTGCAAGTTTGCCAGGAGGGAGGTTTTTACTAGAATGGGAGGGTGGGGCGGTTGGCTTCCTTGCCTCCTTGCCTAAGACAGGTGTACTTGTTTATAGAGACAATTTAGGCATGGTGGGTTAGGGACCGTCGGGTTTCTCCCCTGGGTGTCAGGTTTATTACTGATTTTCACAAAGTCTTGTAAGTAATAGAATGAAGACAATACTTTACACTCATTTTGTGAGGCCAGAACTACTCTAATACCAAAGCCAACACATGAAGTACCAAAAAAAAAAAAGACACACCTATTTCTTTTGTGAATATGGATGGAAAAACACCCAACAAATACTAGCAAACTCAATACAGCCACAGATAAAAAGAATTATACATCATGACCAAGTGGGATTTGTTCCTGGGATGAAAGTTTGGATTAACATCTCAAAATCATTAATGTAATGAGTGAGGTCAATAGATGCAAGGTCTTCTAAATAGATTCAAAGAAATAATTGACAAAAGAAATAATACCCCTTCATGATTAAAACACTCACCAAAAATAGGAGGGCTTCCCTGGTGGCGCAGTGGTTAAGAATCTGCCTGCCAACGCAGGGGACACATGTTCGAGCCCTGGTCCGGGAAGATCCCACATGCTGCAGAGCAGCTAAGTCCACACACCACAACTACTGAGCCTGTGCTCTAGAGCCTGTGAGCCACAACTACTGAGCCCACATACCATAACTACTGAAGCCCGGGTGCCTAGAGCCCGTGCTCCACAACAAGAGAAGCCACGGCAATGAGAAGCCTGTGCACTGCAACGAAGAGTAGCCCCTGCTCACGGCAACTGGAGAAAGCCCTCGCACAGCAATGAAGACCCAACGCAGCCAAAAATAAAAAAATAAAATAAAATGGAAGGAAATGTCCTAACCTCATATTAAGCATCTATGGAAAACCCACAGCTAATATTATATTTAATGGTGAAACAGTGAATGCTTACCCCCAGCCATAACTAACAAAAGATGTCTACTCTTGTCACTTCTGTTTGACAGTTTATTGGAGATTTTAGCCAAGAACTCATTAGGCAAGAAAAGGATTAATATGCGTGCATATTGGTTAGAAAGATGTAAAACTGTCTCTACTTCCAGTCAGGTATCTTATATATAATAAACTCTAGGGTCTGCTAAAAAAAAACTATAGGAACTAGTAATTGAATTTAACAAGGTTGTATGATACAAGATCAAAATAAAAACAACTGCATTTTTATACAGTTGCAATGAACATTCTGATAATGAAGTTCAGAAAAGAAATGTATTTACAATAGAATCAAAGGCAATAAAACAGAATAAATATAACAAAGGAAGTATAAAACAAATACTCTGAAAACTACAAACATGTTTGAAAGAAATTAATTAATGTATAAACAAATGGGAAAACATCCCAGTTTCATGGATCAGAAGACTTAACATTGTTGAAATGGCCCTTCTCTGCAAAATGATCTAAGATTCAATAATCATAATCTGAACAGTAATTTGATTGGCAATCTCTTTCATAAATTTATAGGGAATTGTAAGGAAACCAGAATAGCCACACCATTCTTGAAAAAGAAAAAAAAAATTGTAGGATTAACATTTCTTGATTTCAAAACTTTGTACTAAACAAAGGTAATCAAGATGTGGTAGTAACAGAAGGATAGACAATTTTGTTAGTCAATGATACCTCAAGAAAGCTGTGGGGGAAGAGTTTCCAGATGAATCCCAAGTTTACAGGATGATTTATTGTTTTTCTTGTAACAGAAATAATAGGAATCAATTGCCTTAGGGATGTCATAGTCGTTTACATTTCAAAGTTCACTAGGGTTTGCAGCAAAAACTGATGTAAAATAAATTTCCTTTCAGTGTAAATGCAGACATGAGAACTTAATGAACACATCTCACACCCTATGGTTAGACTGAGCAGAGTCCTTGCACCCACCTAGGACTGCGGGCTTCAAATTTCTCACCAGGGCCAAGTGTTCTGGAATTCTTTACCTTAAGTACCAAAAGAGTGGGGGCGGAAAAGGGATGAGGGAAATCTCAGTGCTCGCGAAGATCAAAGATTAAAATGGACCAGCCTCTGTTACAGACGGTGAGGTCACACTTAAGTGTGTTTCTTATGAAAAGAACTGTGTCAGGAACGAGTGAGATGTGACCAAAGGACCCCCATCTTTCTTCCCGCGTTGGAATTTTGCTGAGCTCTCTAAATAAAATGGCTGAATAATTGCTGAGTTGCCAAATAATGATGATGATAACTGGACTTATTTTGGACTAAAGAAAACATACCTTTCCCTAGAAACGGATGAGATGTGTTCCGTAACCCAATGGTATGTATAGACGAATTTTACCCTCCAATCCAAATTCTTGGTAAAGAAGTTTTTAAGCCTGAATGAACAACCACCTTTTTCCTAGAAAAACTTTTACCCATTTTCCTCGGGTCGGACGCCATTCTGGGTCTCTCCAGAATCTGTGACCCCTTGAATTGCAATTCTAAGATCCCTCAATAGACTGCCATTTTGCCTCTTTATAATTGGTGGTCCTTATGGTTGACATTCTAAATAAGGGTCATAGTTCCATGAGTGGTTCGCCGCAGCCTTACGCCAAGCTCTTGACCTGCAGAGGACAGATGGCCCATTTGTTACAAGCAGACCTGGCCTGGGCCATCCTCTTGCTCTGTATTTCTCCAACCTGAGACTGAATTGGGAATTCCCGGCGCACATCTGAGCCCACACTTTCACAAAAAGCTGGGTGAAAACACCATAGGCAGCCTCAGGCCAGGAAAACTTTCTGTTTAAATGCAAATGGAGCTGGCTGGTGAGGTTACCACCTAGAGGAGAAGATGTTTGGGCGGAGCCCAGCCCTCCTGCTCTGCAGTCACTCAGGCACGAAGTGGCGGGACTTTCGAACTGTCCAATCAGGGGGGCCGCTGGTGGAGGTGGGCGGGGCGACGCACAGCACCCGCAAGAAAGTCGCCACGGACTCCGATGTCCCAGGGAAGATATCTGGCGTTCCCCGCCCTTAATGGTCCTAGTCGTTTCTGCAGTGGTCGTGGGAGGCGTAGGAGGGACTCGGGGAGACCCGGAAAAGCTGGATATGGTGAGTGTGCCTCCCCGGCGTGTGGAGACGGAGCGGAGAAATTGGTAGGAACCGGCGGGAACAGGCCGAGGCGGTACCCGGGCCTCCCTGCGTTCAACTCCGGAGTCTGCGAACCCGTGTCCACTTGGACAGCCACTGGGACCTCATTCCCTCCGGCTCGCAGCGTGGGGGCGGGGCCTGCAGTCGGGACCCCGGGCGTCCTGTCCCGTCACTGCGCGCCACGACTTCGGCCCCGCCTCCTAGCCTCTCTGGGCAGCTCCGCGCCCGCAGCCCGCGTCTTCCCCAGGGTGTGCAGTGACCACGAGGAGGATCATCAGGGAACAATACTGACTCGGTCCCCGGGGTACCTGTGTATGAGGAGCTGTGTGGTCCCTCCTTTCTCCCCAGGGCGGGACCCGTTTTCTCCTGAGTTTTCCAAATGGTTGGGGAGCAGGGTCTCAAATCCACGACCCTGTCGCTCTAGCCTAGCTCTTCCTAGAGTGGCAATAAATGCCTCAATTTCCAGATTCCTTCCCGAATTCTAAAACTCCAGCTTCTCCTCTTCGATTCACAGCATCATTATCAACTATTTGTCTTTCGTGGTGCATTTCAAGCAGACCCAATTTTTTTTTGTTTTAATTTTTTTCCCCACAGAGTCATGGATGACTCCTTTTTATAGATTTATATTCGTTGTGGATATTTGACATGAGAGGACAGCCATGAATAACTACGTGGAACTACTGTTTGAATCCTCATGCCTCTCCCTCAGGATCTTTTCTGGGCACAGACATCCTATCCGAAATCCTGCCAGTGGTGGTCCTCTTTGGAAGATTTCCTGGTTGATCTGTCAGCCTTGCCCCTCTCTGGCTTTGTCATAGGACATTTTTCTTCATCCTTTTAACATTCGTCTGTCTGTGTCTTTAGGTTTAAAGTGGATTTCTTGTGGACAACATACGATTAAGTGTGATTTTAAAAATCTGTCATTACTGTATTTGTCTTTCAGTTGTATTGGGACCTTGATTAAAGTGGTGGCTAATACAGTTGGATTAATACCTACCACACCTTTTATTGTTTTTATTTGTTACCCTTGTACTTTGTTTCTTTTTGTCTTCCCACTTTTTCTGCCGTCTCTGGCTTTAACTGAGCATTTTACCTGATTGTTTTTCTTAATCCTCTGTTAGTATATCAATTACACATATTTTTTCACTTTTTTAGTGCTTGCCCTTGAGTTTTCAGTATACATTTACAACTAAGCCACATTTGTCAAGTGCCACGATACCACTTCATTGGGCATGCAGGTACCTCATATGAAGTTATTCCCATTTCCCCCATCTCTGGTCCCTTGTCACATGGCTCTCATTTATTTCACTTATCCATAAGTTTATAATTGCCAAATACATTCTTGTTCATGTTTGAAACAAAGTGGTTATCTGCCATATTAATTATAAGAATTACAGTAGATATTTTACCTTCATATATTGTTTTTCTAATCCTGCATCTTCATCATTTACATTCTTTCTGATGAGTTTCTGAATGTTTCTTTCAAAGTAGGTCTATTAAGACAAAGTCTCAATTTTTTTCTGAGAAAGTCTTTATTCCTCCTTTATTCTTGGAGGATAATTTCGCTTGACACAAAATTCTAGGAGAGTTGTTTTTTGTTTCAAAACGTTAAATATTTCACTCCACTCTTGTTTCTTGCGTGGTTTCTGAAAAGAAGTCTGATTTAATTCTAATCTTTGTTTCTGTATAACTAAGGTGTTTTCCCCTCTGGCTTCTTTCCATATATATTCACGTTGTCTTTGGTTTTTGTGTAGTTTGAATACGGGCTACTTGGTTGTGCATTTTTATTGTTTATGTGTTTAGTGTCCTCTGAGCTTCCTGGATCTACAGTGTGTCGTGTATCATTAACTTTAGGAAAATCTCAATGATTTTTACTACACTAATTTCTTCTGTTCTTTTCCTTTCGTAATCCCATGATGGTTATAAATCTTCTATTTAAGACAGTTTATGTTAGGGTTCATAGATATTGTTCTGTCTTTTTTGTGTTTCCATTAAACTCTGCTGAAATAGAATTTTTTGACAGGCCATGGTAAGAACAGAATATTTGGGGAATATTTATAATGTTGTATTTATTTTCTCTTTCCCAATTTTAAAGATCGTGGGTTGCCCTGTGACCTAAATGCTGTGAAGAAACTAAGAAGAGAAGTTTATTTCAAGTTATTTTGCTTTTTTCTTGCGAGGTTGGGAATGATAGCTTCTAAGGTATTAAATGCTAGAGCCGGAAGTAGAAGCTTCTGACTCCAATTTTTTTTTAAAGAAGATGTTGGGGGTAGGAGTTTATTAATTAATTAATTTATTTTTGTCTGTGTTGGGCCTTCGTTTCTGTGCGAGGGCTTTCTCTAATTGTGGCAAGTGGGGACCACTCTTCATCGCGGTGCACGGGCCTCTCACTGTCGCGGCCTCTCCTCTCCTCTGGAGCACAGGCTCCAGACGCGCAGGCTCAGTAGTTGTGGCTCACGGCCCTAGTTGCTCCGCGGCATGTGGGATCCTCCCAGACCAGGGCTCGAACCCGTGTCCCCTGCATTAGCAGGCAGATTCTCAACCACTGTGCCACCAAGGAAGCCCTGACTCCAATTTTTTGACAGTTGGCTGTGGACAGCTTTAGAGCCTCATCCCTCCTTCTTCCCCTTGTGACCCACATGTATCCAAGGCAGTGAGAAAGGCTTTGCTCCTACCTTTGGCTTAGGAAAAGATTGAATCCACACATGCTCTGCCCTTGTGTATAAAGTCTCACTGTATCCCACCACAAAACCAAAATAAAAAAGTCCACACACGTTTCCTTGCTCTCTCAAGCTATTTCACGCCTGCTTGAGAGGCCTGCCTTACACTCGCCAGAGACCTCAATTATGGAGGAATATACCCTTTTATAGCCTACTGGCAGTGTGTGCTGTCTTCAGCTAAGGGATTCTTATGCTTAGGGGTTAAACTGCATGTTCCTTTTCTTCCTAGAGGAGCTTGACAATGGCAGAGGAAGGAAGGACACCTCTACAGTGGCTGGTCACAGAGGACTTCCTTCTGATTAGAGGATGGTGATTTTATGTTCTTTGGGAGGAAAACACTGTGAACAGATTTATTTATTTTATAATCATGGGAATATCCACCATGAAAACATCATGGACTTCAGTGAGCTCCCTTACAATCTGCAGCTCTTAAATTTTTTTTTTCAATTTATAAATTCCTTATACTGTACGCAAGTCCTTGTTGTTTATCTATTTAATATGTAGTAAACTGCATGTGTTAATCCCATACTCCCCATTTATCCCTTTTCCCCCCTTCCCTTTTGGTAACCATAAGTTTGTTTTCTATGTCTGTGAGCCTGTCTGTTTTGTAAATAAGTTCATTTGTACTCTTTTTTAGATTCCACATATAGGAGATATCATATATTTGTCTATCAATGTCTGATTTACTTAGTCTAATAATCCCTAGGTCCATCCATGTTGCTGCAAATGGCATTATTTCCTTCTTTTTTATGGCCGAGTAATAATACATTGCATATATAAACCACATCTTTGGAATCCGTTCATTTGTTGATGGACACATAGGTTGTTTCCATGTCTTGGCTATTGTAAATTGTGCCGCTGTGAACATTGGGATGCATGTATCTTTTCAAATTAGAGCTTTCCTCTTTTCTTGATAAAAGCCCAGGAGTGGGATTGCTGGATCATATGGTAACTCTTTTTAGTTTTTTAAGGAACCTGCATAGTGTACCAATTTACATTCCTACAAACAGTGTAGGAGGGTTCCCTTTTCTCCACATCTTTTCCAGCATTTATTATTTGTAGACTGATGATGCCCATTCTGACTGGTGTGAGGTGTTACCTCAATGTAGTTTTGATTTGCATTTCACTAATAATTTGTGATGTTGAGCATCTTTTCATGTGCCTATTGGTCATCTGTATGTCTTCTTTGGAGGAATGTCTATTTAGGTCCCTTTTTTAAAAATAATTAATTAATTAATTAATTTATGGCTGCGTTGGGTCTTCGTTGCTGTGCGTGGGCTTTTTTCTAGTTGCGGTGAGCGGGGGCTACTCTTCATTGCAGAGTGCGGGCTTATTGCGGTGGCTTCTCTTTGTTGCAGAGCACGGGCTCTACGTGCACGGGCTTCAGTAGTTGTGGCACACGGGCTCAGTAATTGTGGCTTGCCGGCTCTAGAGCGCAGGCTCAGTAGTTGTGGCCCACAGACTTAATTGCTCCATGGCATGTGGGATCTTCCTGGATCAGGGCTCGAACCTGTGTCCCCTGCATTGTCAGGCAGATTCTTAACCATTGCGCCACCAGGGAAGCCCTGTTTGTATATTTTAGAAATTAAGCCCTTGTCACTCACATCCTTTGCAAATATTTTCTCCCAGTCCATAGGTTGTCATCTTGTTTTGTGTATGGTTTCCTTTGCTGTGCAAAAGCTCATAAGTTTGATTAGGTCCCATTTGTTTATTTTTGCTTTTATTTCTATTGCCTCGGTAGGTTGACCTGAGAAAACACTGCTACAATTTATGCAAAAGAATGTTTTGCCTATATTTTCTTCTAGGGGTTTTACGGTATTAGGTGTTATATTTAAGTCTTTAAGCCATTTTGAGTTTATTTTTGTGTATAGTATGTGGGAATGTTCTAACTTCATTGATTTACATGCGGCTGTCCTGTTTTCCCAACACCACTTGCTGAGGAGAATATCTTTTCTCCATTGTTTATTCTTGCCTCCTTTGTCAAAGATTAATTGATCATAGGTGTGTGGGTTTATTTCTGGGCTCTCTATTCTGTTGCATTGATCTCTATGTCTGTTTTTGTTTAGTACCACACTGTTTTAATTACTGTAGCTTTGTAGTATTGTCCGAAGGCTGGGAGGGTTATTCCTCCAACTTTGTTCTTTTTCCTCAGAATTGCTTTGACAATTCTGGGTCTTTTACGGTTCCATATAAATTTTAGGATTATTTGTTCTAGTTCTTTGAAAAATGTCATGAGTAATT